ACTAGTTTTATTTGTTATAGCTATACAAAAGTCTATAGTACAACACTAGGTAACAACTGCACAAATTACAGCAAAAGCATAATTTTACCTCAATCAATAAATGTTTATCACCTTGGTTTCCATGCATTTTATTAAATGAGTGTAGGCATAGAAACGGTTACAATGATTCCATGGATAGAATCTGTTTTTCTGTGCTGTAGGGTCCAATGGTGATTTCAATTGCTGATTTGTAGTCCATAAGCGGTACCATTCGATGTCTTGGTAGTTTCAACTTTCCCTTTTTACTCCAGTCACATAATTCTGATATCATTGTTTGGGCTTCATCCGCTGTGAATAATATTTATAATTAATCAGCATCACATGACCATGTTGATCAAACTGATTGGTTGTTGCTTATTCGGGTGCTATCTTGAACAGTGAATACAAAAAAGCGACCTCTACAGCCGGTCCATGAACACAGAATAAAATTAAATTAAAACACATTTGTAAATAGATTAGTTATCACTGGGTTTTATTTTTTGCTAGTCTCTCTGATAAGTGAAATTTGGTAAAATATAGTAGAACACCGTGTTACACTGGAAAATATAAGAATTTAAAAACTCAGTTGATATGGTCAAATATCAATATAGTGAAATTAAATACCAGTGAAAATAATTGTTTTTACAGTACAAGTCCTAAAACTAAGAAGATGTTTCAAAGAGAAATACATCATGTTAGAGTTTTCATATGAAAACTGACATGTTGACAGATTCTAAAAAACAGTCTCTGTACTCACATTTTCCATTTTTATCATGCCATCTTGACATCCAGTAACCCACAACTTTGATATCATTAAATATCAATAATCCAGTTGGCAAGGTGATTGGTTGCCGTGACATCCCACCATAGGTTACCATGGTACCACCATGTCTGTGGTTTAAAGAAATAAATAATTTGGAGTGTGTGTGCACTGATTTCTTATTTTCAAATACTATCAATATTTCATAAAGTGATATCAGCTTTACCTATATTATAATGGTTTGTTCCTACTTTCCAAATACCCACTCTGAATATTTCAACAAAGTGATAGCTTTACCCATATTATAATGGTTTGTTCCTACTTTTCAAATACTCTAGATATTTCATCAAAGTGATAGCTTTACCTATATTATAATGGTTTGTTCCTACTTTTCAAATACCCACTCTGAATATTTCAACAAAGTGATAGCTTTACCCATATTATAATGGTTTGTTCCTACTTTATAAATACCCACTCTGGATATTTCATGAAAGTGATGGTAGCTTTACCCATATTATAATGGTTTGTTCCTACTTTTTAAATACTTACTCTAGATATTTCATCAAAGTGATAGCAGCTTTACCACCAACAGCATTCAGAGCAAGTCTGGGTTTGCCATGGTCCTTAAAAACAAGTGCAAATAATTAAAGATCAAATAGTGATTCTGTCCAAACTGTTCTTCATTTGAATAGAAACACAACAGTAAATATAGAGAAAAATTTCTATTTCCTCGGTTGTTTTTTTGCATAATTGAGCTAAAATGAATAGGCATGAATGTTTTTTTATAAACATTTATAATCCTTTTATAAATCTCAAATGATGGTTGAAAACAATTTGAAATAAACACAACTCATCCACAAATGAATACCATGAGTGTAGCATTTGACACATCATGACAATTTCCCTGCTACCTGAAAATGAATATGTCATATAACATTTTAAATGTTCACCACCAAACTGAACAGTTATTTTGAATACACTGACAGCATTTATGCTTGAGAGAAAGATGCAGACATTCAGCGGTAATGTGTGTTAGCAACTTTCTACACTTGGCATTAAATAAACTCCACAGAAAGACACAACTTTGAATTTGTCTGAAATTTAGAAATTTCATTATCTGTTTAAGTATTCTCACTTTTAACAGCTGTTTAATTTCTCCTTTTTGAGCCGAGAAATCACTGATAACTTCTGTAGCACCAAGGTCTTTGAGATGTTGACAAACATCATCAAAATCTGACCTATGTAACAAAAATAATTTATTTGCATTAATTATCTCATCACACGAGTGTACTGATAGATTTCATTTAAAACTATTACATCATCTGACCACACCCACTATTAGCTGCATTCTCTATAACCACATCACCTATATGGACAATTGTTACTTACCGTTGTATTCCCCTAGCTGCAGCTATCTGTATAGCAGCCTGACCACACCCACTATTAGCTGCATTCTGTATAACCACATCACCTAAAAAAAAAATAAGAAACATGCCTTGAAATTTGTGTGACATAAAACAGATTTTATTATATATCACATCA